TCTCATTTCAGACCCACTTAGTCCTGCACCTGAGTTAGCCTTGGTGTCTGAGAGGAAGTTGAAGGTCAGAGACATGAGCCACTTTCAAAGATCATGTGTCAAGCAAGTGGCTGAGTTAGAGCACAATATTTTTGCGTTCTAAATCTGTGTTTTTCCCAGTATCCCAGAGGTTAAAGACTTAAGGTCCTGGATAGGACCAGCATCTGTGCTTGCTCGCCTATACTCCTTTAGTCGCTTCAGAGCCATTTTTAGTACAATAGTCCCCACTTATCCCTGGGGGATACGTGCCAAGACTTCAATGAATGCCTGAAAGTCTGGATAGAACCAAACACTATATATACTATGTTTTTTCCAATACATACATACCTATGATAAGGTTTAATTTATACAGTAGACACAGTAAGACGTTAGCAAAACTAATAATAAAATAGAGCAATTATACTGTAATAAACATTATGTGAATGATTCTCTTTTAAAAATATCCTCTTTTTAAAAAAATGCCTCTTCTGTCTTAACTAAGCGCTTAATACACTTTGTGGCTATAACTTTTGCAGCTTCAGGTCCAACAGCAAAACTAGCACAAATTCCCTTTTCCTTCTTCATAATTTCACAGATAGAAGATTGGGTTTTATTCTAGATCTTAGCAACCTTAGCATATGACTTTTTTCCCCCTTAAGTTGAAAATTTTCTCCTTTTTACTTGAAGGAAGCACTTTACAGCTTCTCTATGGCATTTCTGAATTGCTAGTATCACTACTCTTATGCTTTGGGCCATTAACTAAAAGAAGGATTACTTAAACACAAGCACTGTGATACCAAAACAGTCGAACTGATAACTGATACTGAGTGACTAAGGGCAGGACAAGCTGGACAAAGCGTGATTCATATCCTGGACTGAATAGAGCAGGGCAGGGCAATATTTCACTACACTACCCAGCATGGTGTGTAGTTTAAAACTTATGAATTTTTTGTTTCTGGAATTTTCTGTTTAATATTTTTGGACCATGTTTGAGCATGGGTAACTGAAACCTCAGAAAGCAAAACCATGGAGAAGGGAAGACTGCTGTATCAGCTACAGGGTAATAATAGTATTAACAGGACTCTTAATGAGTTATCAAGCTTTCTAGAAAGTGTTAAGAGAAAGTTGGGTGTGTCGTTTTACTGGTGAATAATATAAATTATTTTAAAATTAGATAGAAAAGGGATACATTAATGGTGCATGTCTTGCAATTAAATGCCCCTAACTTTAAAAGACAAAATGCAAGTTCAGGACACTGATTTTAGAAGCTCACATCAGGCTAGCCCCCAAAGCTACTCTGAAGGCCCACATTCCTTCTCTGCTACAAAGTCTAATAATGTTGAAAATTAAGAAACATTGTTTTTGCTTAAATACCTTCTTGAATGGATTATATTTCTTTTTGCCAGTGATTCTGCCATTTCCTTGAAGGTGGGGACTGAGAGAGAAAATTAAGGATCTAAGTGTTCCCTTGTGTAAAGATGGAAGTGTCCAAACAAAAAGATGGTTTTACAGTGTTTACAATTTATGATGCTGCCCTTCTCTCACAACTGTATGTTTATGTTTAATGTGGATGTCAGCATTCTTGCCTTCTAAGGTGGTTGACCTAGTTGTCAATCACAAAGACAGACCACAACCTAATAGGTTAATGGCAGATTATACCTTTGATAGGCAGTATTTGAAGAATATGTCATATATAAAAGAGAAGAATCTTCAGGGAAGAAAAAATAAAGGTTGGCCTTAGTGTTTGGAGCTTAGAAAAGTAAAAGAAGGAACTTTTACTTCTGTTCTGTTTCTGAAATTTAGCGTGACTCTCTAACAGGACTGTAGGACTGGAATCCATTCCAGAAAGGCAGAGAGTTTTCAAAATTGATATCCAACTTTCTAAGATGATGTTGATATGCTGGTTCAGAGTCAACTTCAGTTGAAACCTTTTGCCTCATTTTCTGCATGTTAAGTTGTCAGTGTTATTTCTTGTTACTCCCAGTAATTTTCATTCTGAGGCTGCTGCCTGGTCTCTTGGGACATTAATATTTATGATTGGCAGTGCCCATATCATTGCTCCTGGCACAAATTAGCAACTTATTTAAGCTCATCAAAAATAGATCCACCCTTCTTGTGATGAGAAGCATTGCCTTTGTGCTTAAAATTATAAATGGCCGCTTTAGTTTAAGTGCTAAATTCCTGACAAAATTCTAGTGCAAAAGTGAAACTAGTTTGTTAAGTGGCTGTTGTAAAAGAAATCCAAAACTCTTAAATAGCAAAAGTATGGATTTTGTTTCTTTGCTTCTTTTTCACTTTCCTCATATTTTATTTTAAAAATGTGCTTAAAATGGCTCTAATGTGCTCTAAATGGCTGAAAGTGAAAAAGATACCAGTCTTTTTTTATACCTGAGTCCCACTACTCAGAAACAAAAATATTCAACTCTGTTAGCTATTTGTTCAGGTATTTATATTAATATTTCTAGATGTCATGTTTACTTTGTGGTTTGTGGATTTAGACATTCAGATGTCATTTGTTGATTTATTCCTATAATTTATTAGAGTTTAGCCAGAACGCATGCCTACCTGCACATTTCTTCTCTATATTGCCAGTATATATACTCTGGTTAAGTCAGTACTCAGTATTTATGTTTATTGCTGAAGTAACTGACCTTCCTGATATATACTCTCAAAACAGTTAATTCCAGTTTGTGAAACATGGCTTTGTTTTGTACATTGCAAATTTTTTTTCTATGTATTTATTACAAATTCATCCATCCAGAATGCTTTCATTTTTCACACATTGTCCCAGAACTTTCCTACATTATCCAGAGTTGATCCTTTGTTTCATGCATCCTGTTTACTCATTTCTTGGTTTGTTCTACTTCTTAGTAGAGTACGTCCTTCAAAAGTTTTCTAAGAAGAAAGGTAGTGAAAAGGTACCTGTCATTCTATTTATTTTAACCTTAAGTTTGAGTGGTTTGGCTGGGTATAGAATTCTATGATGGAACTGGTTTTTCTTCAGAATTTTGGATGCATTGTCTTTTAGTTTTCAGGAATGCTGCTAAGAAGTCTGAAAACATTACTTTTTATCTTTTGTGCTCTACATATTTCTATCTATGAAGGTTTTGTTTTTCCACTTAATTCTTAATGTTCTGAAATGTCATATAACATGTCCTGGGGGAGGTTGTTTTTCTGTTCATTGTGGCAGACAGGCAGACATGGTCCCAGTCAATGGTGAGATATTTTGTTATTTCTTTAATTCCTCCCACACTTTACCTCCTTCTTTCTTTATGATAGTTCTACTATAATTTTTTATCTTCTGGATTTTTTATAATTTATTTTCTGTTTTCCATTTTTGGCTTTCTTGTTCATGTTTCTAATTTGCCCCCATTTTATTTTAGTAATTTCTATAATTTTTAATATTCAAAAAAATTTAATACTCAAATTCATTTTTCATTCTTTAAACCTATAAAAAGTTGTATTATATTTTTGTTTCATGGATATAATATCCTTTCTTATCCCTTTGAGGATATTAGAGGTATTGATGCTCATAATCTTTCTTTTCCTGTTCCTTTTATATAGTCTCAGTTTCCTCTGACTTCTTTTTCATTTGTTTAGACTGTTTCTCAAATTATAAGCTCTTGTCAATTTGATTGTCCCTGTATGTCCATTTTTATTTAACAGTGAAATATTAAATTTGTGATAAAAAAAAGAAACAACTCTGCATACCTGGAAAAGATTTATCTACTGGTAGAATTCACTGTAGAGCAGTTGGGTTTTGAAAGAGTGTATCAGTTTCTGGGTCTTTTTGGGTTAGGTTGGTCATCTCTATAAGAAAACCCTTTAATATTTTGCCTGAAGTGTATACTTGCCTGAAGTGTATACTTGTATACTTGGCCTGAAGTGTATACACTGAAGTGTATACTAACAGTCTGGGAAGCAAGAGTAAGAGAGCAGGCTTTCATTTAATGCCTTTTCAGCCTTGTGTTCAGCCTTCTTCATTGTTCTTTGTGTTCTTCAGTCGGTGGATTCTTGTCATTAACCTTTTCCTGCTTTGGCTGGGAGGTGGGAAAGGTAGTAATTAGTTACCCATGTGGAATAGCAGAGGGTACTTGATGGTATAAGGTCTCCATTTGTAAACTTTGAAATATTTTCCCTGTTTTAAGCCCATATACCATTTGTAGCTTCTATAACACTAGTTGACTCTAAATACTGAAAATATATAGGGCATCTCAGGTATAATTCTCACTAGAAAGATTTTCCTCTTGAAGTACTTAGTTTTTCTAGTCTAGTTTTCTCAAGTAGGGTCTCCACTCTTCAATCTGCATACTATCTCCCCAAAAGGTATGGATATCTCCAGTCCACTGCTGCGACGTTGCCTGCCTCTGCCCCCACTATTTATGTCTTTTATTTGATTACTAAGTGTTTTAATGTGATTTTAGAGAGGGATCATGTTAAAAATCCTATGTTCATTCTTAAAATCCTGTTTAAATTAAGATAGACACCATGGTTTGACTGAAGGAGTTTCTTTTGTAATAATTAGGGGAAGATAAGAGACATATGTCCACAAAGAGTTGGACACGACTGAGCGACTGAACTGAACCAAAGAGACATAAAACGTGCCCTATGTATCTTTAAATTTTTATTATTTGAGATCTGCTTAACTATGACTAAGTGAAACTATTTTTGCTCCAATCTTCAGTCTTTAACCAATCCTTAGTCCTTAGATCCACTAAAATTTAAATATTGAGTAAGGAAATGTCTGCCACCCAACCCACAAATCCCAAACCACACCAAAAATTTCTGTGAACTATTCCCTGAGGTGAAAACACCAACACATCTAATTTGAGGCTATGCAATTTACAGCTCATCCTGGTTCTGAAATCTAGGCATAGCCTAATTCATATAGTAGTAGAAGTATGGTATCTCATACCAATATGACATATATGGCACTGGCTTAGCTGCTGGCTCAGGAGTGATAAAGAAACTTTTATTAGAAAATGGAAAAATGGACTTTCCTGCTTTGCGGGTACGTCAAAATGGCTGCCTCCGTATTGAACGTGTTGCTGAGGCGCCTTCCTAACATTTCGCCCTTCAGAGGTGCCAACAGAGTTCAGGTTCCCCTCCAGACTCTTTGCACCAAATCCCCCCCTGAGGATGATTCTTTGCCCCCAATTCCTGCTTCCCCTTATGAGGATGAACCCTGGAAGTACCTGGACTCAGAAGAATACCAGAACCGCTATGGTTCTCGCCCTGTCTGGGCTGACTACCGTCGAAACCATAAAGGTGGAATACCCCCACAGTGGACTCGAAAGATGTGTATTCGTGGTAATAAAGTTGCTGGGAACCCCTGCCCCATCTGCCGGGATCAGAAGCTGCATGTTGACTTTAGGAACGTGAAGCTCTTAAAACAGTTTGTCTGTGCCTACACGGGTATCATCTTCCATGCTCCATATACAGGGGTCTGTATGAAGCAACACAAGAAGTTGACCCAGGCTATCCAGAAAGCCAGGGATCATGGTCTCCTCAGTTACCACATTCCCCAGGTTGAACCCCGAGACCTTGACTTCAGTACCTCTCATGGAGCTGTGAGTGCTACTCCACCAGCCCCCACTCTGGTTTCTGGTGACCCCTGGTATCCATGGTACTGCTGGAAACAGCCACCAGAGAGAGAGCTGTCCCGCCTTCAACAAAATAAGAGTATGACCTTCACCTCTAAAGGTAAAGTTAAAATTTTTTATCAAAGTGAATTAAGAAACCTAAAAGCAAAGATAAGAATAAGGGCATAGCATTATAAGAAGAGGGGCACAGCATTTCTGGAATAGCTCACCAGCTCTAGGGTAATCTAGTTTAAAGCTAGAAATATGAGGACCAAAAAACCCAAAGAAGCACAATTTATGTGGAAAACATGTTCTTAAAAAGATCTCTGGCACATGGAACTTTCTGGAATGGAATGCATGAGAAATCTCTTACATTTTGAGAGTTTGCTGTCAAATATATCATGAGGCTGTATTTAAATACTCTATAACTGAGTCTTGGACACTTACCCATTGTGTGCAGAGTAATGACAGTGAAAAGTGAAAGTGAAAGTCACTCAGTCATGTCTGATTCTCTGCAACCCCATGGACTATACAATTCATGGAATTCTCTAGGCCAGAATATTGGAGTGGGTAGCCTTTCCCTTCTCCAGGGGATCTTCCCAACCCAGGGACTGAACCCAGGTCTCCCGCATTGCAGGCAGATTCTTTACCAGCTGAGCCACCAGGGAAGCCCAAGAATACTGGAGTGGGTAGCCGATCCCTTCTCCAGGGGATCTTCCTGACTCAGGAACCGAACCAGGGTCTCCTGCATTGCAGGTGGATTCTTTACCAACTGAGCTATCAGGGAAGCCCCATGAGCAGAATGAGGGCTGGGAAGGTTGTGCACTTGTAGGAAGAGTGCGTTCTCCAATACCCACTTCAGAGACAGCAAAGAGGAGAAAAAGGAAGACCCCTACAGACTGAGGCCAGGGATCACAAAGAACAGCGGACAAGGACACTCTTCCCGAGAGAAAAGTCAGGACTTAAGCATGGGATCATTCTTCATCCAGGAGAGGGCCCTCCACAGTGTTGCCCGAGCTAGCCACGAAAGAGTTACTTTTCATGTTTTAAATAAGTTATCTTGAAAATAACTCAGAAAACTGACAGGAACTTTTACAATTGAAAGGTCTCTTCTCAGTTCTGTTATATAAACCTTGGGTAATGTTTACTTTGACCTTCAGTGAGATTCACTGTAGTAATTAAAGTGTTATTTCCTAGAGATGTGTTCTGTCACTGATTCCTCCAGTGATAAAGAACCTGCTATACTGAGCTATGATGAAGTTAATCCTAATATATGGAGCTGATGATAATGAGAGTAATTCAGGAAAGTTAATAATTTAAAAGAAATTTAATATTCTTTGGATATTTGTTTGACTTTTACATGAAGATGTTATTAAGAGTCTGACTTTATATGGATGGCCAGTAGGTACGTGAAAAGATGCTCAGCATCACTAATGATTAGAGAAAGTCCAAGCAGAGCTATGTTGAGGTGCTACTTCATCTTTGAAAAGTCTTGCTGTAAGTAACATGCTGTCTAGGGTGTGAAGAAAATGGAACCCTCCTCCATTGTTGGTGGAAATGTAAGTTGGTGCAGCCATGGTGGAAAACAATATGGAGAGTCCTCATAAAACTAAAGGTAGAGCTGCTGTATGATCCAGCAATCCCACTTCTGGGTATATATCCAGACAAACCTCTAATTCACAAAGATACATGCACCCCTGTGTTCAAAGCAGCACTGTTCACAATAGACAAGACATGGAAACCACCTAAATGTCCATTGACAGATAAATGGATAAAAAAGATGTGGTACATACATACAGTGGAATACTACTCGTCCATAAAAAAGAAAAAGTTCATGCCATTTGCAGCAATATGGATGCAACCAGAGATTATTGTACTAAGTGAAGTAAGTCAGAAAAAGACGTACCACATGGTATCACTTATATGAAGAACCTAAAATATGACACAAATGAACCTATCTATGAAACAGAAACAGAATCATGGACCAACTTGTGACTGCTGAGAAGAGGATTGGGGAAAGGATAAAGTGGTAGGTTAGGGTTAGCAGGTGTAAGCTTTTTATGTATAGAATGGATAAACAACAAGGTCCTACTCTATAGCACAGCAAGCTATATTCAATAGCCTATGATAACTCCAGGAGTTGGTGATGGACAGGGAGGCCTGGCGTGCTGCAGTCCACAGGGTCGCAGAGTCAAACACGACTGAGCAGCTGAACTGAACTGAACTGATGATAAATCATAATGGAAAATAATGCATTAAAAAAGAATGTATATATATATATATGTATAACTGAATCACTTTGCTATACAGCAGTAATTAACACAACATTGTAAATCAACTATACGTCAATTAAAAAAAATCTGATATTAACAAAAATTGTATACTTCTTTCCTTTCTGTCAAAAATAAGGAAGTTTTACATGCATTAGGTATAAAATATTTTTTAACATTTGTATGTCTCTCATGTCACTTTTCTTCACCCACCATTTGTATTTGGATAGTGTTTTTCTTTAACAATCAGCCAAAATAAAATTAACTTACATGAATATGTGTGTGCATGCTAAGTTGCTTCAGTTGTGTCCGACTCTTTGTGACTCCACAGACAGAGGAACCTAACAGATTCCTCAGTCCATGGGATTCTCCAGGCAAGCATACTGGAGTGAGTTTCCATGCCCTCCCCCAGGGGATCTCCTTCAAACAGGGATTGAACCTGCGTCTCCAATGTCTTCTCCATTGGGAGGTGGATTCTTTACCACTCGCACCACTTGGGAACCCCAACTTACATAACTATAATTATTAAAATCATGTTAAAATTGTGTTTTAATGTTTGTTTCTAGCTTTCACACAGAAAACTGTGGTTCTTAAGATCTGTTCATCCTCACTTTTTATAGTGACTTTTCAAACCAGGCATCATTTGGGAATAAAATGAAAAATATTAAGTATTTGCATATTAACATAAACTTTTTCCCCTAAAAATATCACCATGGCATGCAGGAAGCCATGTGGTTTTAGGATATCTGTGGATTATAAGTCCTGAATTCAAGCGATTGTTGAAGGGCTGCTTACACTGGTGGTGCTATACTGATGTAAAACTCCTCTCTAGAAATTGGCTATTGCTAGCAATAGTTTTTATTAACATACTCAGATTCTATTCAGTAGGACCAGGCCCAGGTTATATTTTCTCATCAGTAGAATTCTGCTTGGAAACCTAAGTTTAAGTCTGTGATGTTCTCTTGCTTCTATGGAGTGGAAACCCCCAAATTGCTCTTCTGGCTTATTCTTCAGTCCGCTCCTGGTTCCCATTATGCTCACTGAGCAGAAGCTTATATTTGGAAATTCATTGAGGATTTTCTGTCTTTAATTGATTTGATAATAATTTCTATTTAGACTCTTCATATACTGATTAATGCCTAATGAAGATCATCTCAATCAAGAGCAACAAGACAGCAGCAATTCCCACAGCTTATGCTAAATACCTGAACATACTGAGAAATGTGAAGGCAAAAACTTAGACTCATTTTTGGAGATTTCCCTTGCCCTACTGACCTCATGGAACTGCCTTGAATGTTGAATATATATATATTTTTAATTTCTTATTTTATTTATGGCTGTGCTGGGTCTTTGTTGCTGTACTGGCTTTCTCTTCATTGCAGAGAGTGAGGGCTACTCTCTAGTTGTGTTCCCCAGGCTCCTCATTGCAGTGGCTTTTCTTGTTGCAGCACATGGGCGATAGGGCATGTGGGCTTCAGTAGTTGTGACATGTGGGCTCAGTTGTTGTGGCTCATGGGCTCTAGACCACAGGCTCAGTCGTTGTAGCGCAAGGGCTCAGCTTCTCCACAGCATATGGGATCCTCCTGGATCAGGGCTCGAACCTGGGACTCCTGCATTGGCAGGCAGATTCTTTACCACTGAGCTACCAAGGAATCCCTGAGTAAGTTTTTCTATATGAAAGTACCATTGCAAATAGAGGTGCCAGTTTATTCTTTTTTTTTTTCATTTATTTTTATTAGTTGGAGGCTAATTACTTTACAATATTGTAGTGGTTTTTGTCATACATGGACATGAATTAGCCATGGATTTACATGTATTCCCCATCCCAGTCCCCCCTCCCACCTCCCTCTCCACCCGATCCCT